CTCACCCGCATAGGGGAACAGACGAACGACCCCCGGGCCCCGTTCGACCGATTGCCTCGGGAACTCTCCAAGGGCGCGTTCTGGCTCACATTCCGCGGCGACTCCAGCCGAGGCGACGAGGGCTCTCCGCGAAAGGGGCGCGGCATCGGCACCTCGTCCTCGCCTGAGAAGCCGGCAGATTGACGGGGGCGCGCAATTTTGGACAGGGAGCGCAACTCGGAACGAAGGCCGCGCCCTGCGCTAAAATCGAACGATGGAGGCGGGCGGGTGCTGGCCGCTGGCGGAACCCGGTTGAAACTTTGAGAAATTGAAACGTTTGGGGATGGGAGGAGGAGGAGGAGGAGGAGGAGGAGGAGGAGGAGGAGGAAGAGGAGGAGGAGGAGGAAGAGGAGGAGGAGGAGGACGACGAGGACGAGGAGGAGGACGAGGAGGAGCGCAGCTGCCCGAGGATGATTTCGTCAGCCACGTAGCACCTGACCTGCCGCGGGGGAGCGCCTGGCCCTTTGCCGGATACGCGCCTGGGCCAGGCGCGCAAAAGAAACGGTGCCACTCCTGACCAGAACTGGTGCCCCAGATCGGACAGCAAGGTGGGTGTCGCAGGTGGGACCCGGGCCTACACAGTCAAACAGAGGCCAGCGATATATATATATATATATATATAAAAGAATTTGTATGTGTATATATAGATACAGAAGCAATGGATAATAGTATTCTCAAACCCGCAATGCCCAAAGGTTCGCATGCTTAGGGCGACGAAAAGGACAGTCAACGGGGCCATGTTTCGGGACCCGTCAATCACGTAGCACCTGACCTGCCGCGGGGGAGCGTGTGGCCGTTTGTCTTATACGCGCCTGGGCCAGGCGCACAAACACACAGGGCCACTCCTGTCGAGGCCTTCGTCTGTGTGGTACGCAAAACACATGGCATCATACAAACAAGCGATGGATATCAGCAGGGCGTTGGAGAGAGCACCAAGACCGAGGAGGAAGAGGAGAAGGAAAAGGAGAAGGAGGAGGAGGGGGGAAGGAGGGGGAGGAGAAGGAGGGGAGGATGAAACGTTGAACGTTGAATAAGGACTAATCAAGCGCGTCCACTACTCGCAGCAAAGTAGCTACTCGCAAATGGCTTAGATCCGCTGCGTCGAAGCAAAGAGGATCTACTGCATCGCACAGCGCTCGTTTCTGATGACGCTTGCGAGTGGGCACTCTGCGAGTAGTGCGACGCGCTCAGTGAAGGACGAGGAGGAAGGAGGGCAGAGGCTGGGGAGGCTGGGGGGCATTCATGGGTTCTGCGGCAACGCTTGGGAGCCTCCCATACCAGCTTGTTGGCTCCAGCGGATCGACGCTCACCGCGGCTAGCCGACAATGATCGACGCTAAATCGACGCTAGTTGGCGCTATCTCATCGACCAGACGCCAATCGTCGCTAATGCATTCTAAAGGGGGGAAGGAGGAAGAGCAGGAACGGGAGGAGCAGCAGGAGGACGTCGAGCAGAGGAAGAAACAGATGACGAGAAGCAGGAAGAAGAGGAGGAGCAGAAAGAGGAACAGGACGAAGATCATCATAATGATGATGAAGAGATGGGGAGACCAGAAGGTACCCCTACCGCTACTCCCGGGACCTCTGCTGGCGTGCGTTCTGACCAGGATCTCCAGGCGACTGCCACGGTGGCGACGAGGGCCTCCCAGGAGGCCCCAAGACAAGCCGAGCACGAGGGCAGCGGCATCGGCACCCCTTCCCTCCCCGAGGAGGCGCAGAGGGGGAGGAGGCCGGCCCCCGGCGGACCACGGGGCTGGCGCAGGAGCGCGTCCCGCGCGGGGGTCGCGCCCGCCCTCCCAAGGGGGGCTGCAAGGAAGGTGCCCAGTGGCCCAAGGCGCCCCCCTTTTCGCCCCCTTTTGGAGCCCCTGGGGCCCCTTACAGTCGAGACGCTGTCAGAAGGAACCCCGACATAAGGAACGAGGTGCTTCTTTGCCAAGAGTTCAACGTCGATCCCCCACAGAAACCGAAGGAGCACCCAAGAAAAAGGACAACACCAGTAAGGAACACTGAGCCCCTCCCCAGCGAAGAGGGCTCCTTCTTCGGCAGCCCGACTCCGTGGGCCTCGTGAGGGGTGCTCTGGAGACCGTGGGGACCTCCCTTCGAAAGCCTGGGGACACCCTGGGCCAGGGGACACCTCTCGCAGTAGGTCGGGCGTGTCCTCCTATAGGCGAATTCGGGACGGAACACGAGAAGTACCCCGAAAAAGCTCCGCAAGAATCCAAACATAAAACAGCCGCCCCCAGACTGTATTCTGCCTATTCTTGAACCTTCCTCCCATGGAGGGAAACGCCCGACTGAACGCAGCGCCCGATACTCGGGTCGGGCGAAAGGGGGGGATAGCAAAGGGGGGGTTTGAGAATCAGCTCACGTAGCTGATTTTCCTGGCGCCTCCCGGCGCCGGAGGCGGCGATGTGTCGAGGAATGGGCCCCTTGATGAGGCCAAAACCAGCTGCATGCAGCGAATTTCGTAACCCCCCCTTTCCCAATCCCCCCCTTTCGCCCGGCCCGAGACACACGGCGCAGCACTGCCGCCGGGCGGCTCGTCGCGCCCGGGGGCGCCCGCGCCGCCGGAGCCGCGCCCGCAGCGCGGCGGGGCGGCGACCGCGGCACGCCCGCGTCGGGCGCCCGCGGCGCTGCGCGGCGGCCCACGAGCGCCGCGGCGGCGGCGGCCTGGGCTTCCGGGGCGCCGCCGCCTCCCTCGTGTGCCAGAGGCCTCCTGGCTTTAACTCGGGCCTGTCCCCCTACAGGGGGATTGGGGACCAAACAAATTAAACATCGTCAACAAATGCCATAGAAATATTCAAAAATGGTAAACAAAATAGTCCCCGTACTATTTTTTGACTAGTTTTGAATATTGCTCCTGTAGAGGGACAGGCCCGACTTAATCCTAGTTTCGTGCTGCTCCCAGCGTACTTAGGACAACATGCCAGACACAAGTTCGAGCACCCAGAAAAGCACCGAAGCAGTGTCGATCGAGCATCTCCTCCCAGGGCCCAACACGCGAAAACCATCAAATGATGGTGCTCCTTGGTGCTCGGAATTCCTTCTGGCAGTTAAGGCTGAAGTAGGTTGAAACATCACAATCCTAGATGTGGTCGGAGTGGATGGGGTAGGATGAAGGCGTCGCATCGCCGATGCATTGGCATGCATCGGCAATGCATCGGCGATGCACCAGCGAGATATCGACGACGTCGGCGATGCATCGGCGAAATCGACGTAAAGCAAATCGGGCTCCACATCGAGCCGCATCGGCGATACATCAGAGATGCGGCGCGATGCTCCGTCCCGATCTACTCCGACCCCATCTAGGAGGCATAGTTAGATGTGCGGGACAACGAGAGGCTGGCAGGTCGGCGGCGAGCGAGGCGGCGGGGGGGCAAATGAGAAGGAGAAGGCTTTGTCAAAAGGCGCCCGGATTTCTCAGAGGCCCTCGCGCCTTACGACAGGTTCCCTGAGTCTTCGGGACAAAACTTTGAAAAATGTTCAAAGGCCGGGGGGACTTCCGAGCCTTCTCAGAAGGCCCGCCCCTTCTCACTTCCCCCCCCGGTTGCCGCCGAATAGGGGGGAAACATGGACCACTTGGAATTGTCGACACATCGCCGATAGACGGGCCACAGGCCCCCGTAAGCGAATCAGCACATGCATGGGCAGGCAGCGGCTATCGGACACTTCTCGGCGATAAAAGAACGACTTGGGGTCGATGCACCCCCCTCCATGCCTAACCCCCCCATGTCGTTGCCATTGGTTGTGGGCGAAAAAACATATCCGCATCCGCGGTCTCGCGGTCCGGGCCCCTGAGCCGTGACCCCGCGGATGAGGGTACCCGTGCGACCGCGTATCCGCGGAATCGCGCCCCCGGAATCCAGACCGCGAGGGCGCTGACATCGGGATACGGACATGTTCGCCGCTCGTGACAGCCGGCGGCTCAAAGATGGGGCCCTGAGAGACGAGGCCTCGAAGTGTAAGGAGGGGTCCCAGGCTTAGCCTGCATTGCTGGAAGCTCCTCGTCCTCGGGACCCCATCCCTCAGGCCCCATCCCTCAGGGATGGGGTCCTGAGGACGAGGAGCCTCAAGTACTCCAAACAACAGTTGAAAGCCCATCCGATACTTCTGGGCCCCATCCCTCAGGAGCCCATCTTCGAACCGCCGCTCCCTCACTCTCGGCCTTTCGGCCCACCAGCCTCTGCCACCTCGCCGCAGGGGGGGGAGGCGAAGTCGAGCGGGGCTATCTGTCTCGTCGCGCGCGCGCCGACGAAACCCAGGTCGCGACATCCCGACCCTCCCTGACTCCTCCCTGCCTTCCTGCATCCCTCCCCTCTTCCCCCATTCCTCCACTGCTCCGCCTCCTCCTTCTCCTACTGCTCTTCCTCCTCCTCCTCCTCCTCCTCCTCCTCCACCTCCTTATCCTCCTCCTTCTTCTGCTTTCCTTCTCCTCCTTTCCTCCTCCTCCTCCTCCTCCTTCGTGCTTCTGTGGATTCTCCCCTTCGTTCCTCACTGCCTTCACCCTACCCCTCATCCTCCCTGCCTTCGCCCTGCCTCCCTCTTTTCCCACCCTGCTTCGTCTGCGCCACCCTCGGGCACCACCGACTATTGCCTCTCTCAGGGTGGTTTTGCTGACGGGACTCGCGACAGATGGACAGATGGAGCAGATGAGAGATGAGGGCCGGAACGGATCGAAGCGGACTCGGCCTTGCGCGTGTCAGGAGGCATGAATGAGAAGGATCGGGAGAAAGAGGAGGAGGAGGAGGAGGAGGAGGAGGAGGAGGAGGAGGAGGAGGAGGAGGAGCAGGACGAGGAGGAGGAGGGAGGGGGAGTAGCGGAAAGAGAGAGAGAGAGAGGAGGAGCGAGGGGGGGGAGGAGGGAGGGGGGCCGACGCAAGCAGAGCGAAGCGGCCGAGGCTGAAGAGGGGCCGGGCGAGTTTTGAGGTGGGGTGCCCCGGACAGGAGGCCGACGGCGCGCTGCCTACGCGCCGGGCGCCGCGAGCGGAGGCGGGGCGCTGTCCATGAGGCTCCTGTCGCGCCAGGGCCGCGCTGACGAATCCGGGGGGGGGGGGCCCTCGCAACCCTCGTCCTCATATCGCCCACGCCGTGCTCCCCCTCCTCCTCCTCCTCCTCCTCCTCGTCGTCCTCCTCCTCCTCAATCGCACTCTCTTTCTCCTCGTTTGGTCCCTCTCCTCCGCTTCCTCCTCCCTCCTCCCTCCCTTCTCCCTCCTCCCTTCATCCCCCCCTCCTCTCTACAACTACACACAAAAAGTTCTCCTCTCTCTCCCGAAGACGCCGGTGAGGTGCCCTGGCCCCCTCCGCCGATCGATTTTACACACAAGATGCCGCCGAATTGAGAATCCAGGGTGTTTTCCAGTCCGACCGTACTCAATCGTTTTAGAATGGCGCTCCCGCAACGGCGTTGGTTCCAGGTTCCCTTTCTCAGTCGTTCCCAGTTGTATACCCGCTGCAGCGCTGCCCTCATTTCGTTGCTTCGGATCTTTCAGAGATCATGCTCCTGTTGCAGCGTTAGCTTCGGTTCCGCGCTTCGAGTCCTTCCAAATCGCGCACCCAGTGCAACGCTGGATTAATTCCCGCGGTTTCGATCCTTCGAAATCGTGTTCCCACTGCAACGCGAATCTAATGTTGCGCTTCCCGCTTTCCAAACCATCCATTTGCATGTCCCGTCCCGTGTCACTTCGGGATTCCCTCTGACCTTGTTGTCGACATGAACCGCGTTCTCGACGCGACAAAGTCGGCTGTGGCCGTGCTCTTCTACGCCATGGTATGCCGTGCGATACCATGCACTACGTTCTCTCTCTCTCTCTCTCTCGGGTTCATTGCCCAGTTCGACATCCGACTGTGCGAAGAGGGAGATTTACGCAATGGTAAGGGATGCATGGAAGGGGTAGGACGTCAGGTATGACGCTTGCAACTCCCCAGTTGCAGCAACCGCCCTCTCCTCCCCCTCCTCCTCCTCCTCCTCCTCCTCCTCCAATTGCAGCTGCCGCCCTTCCGCCTCCTCCTGCTCCTCCTCCTCATCGGCCCCCTTCTCCTCCTCCTCCCCCGCGGACGCGGCTCGATCTCCACTCTCCATCCTTCACGTGCTTCCGCTCCACGCCCCCACCCTTCGATTGCTCGCGCTACCGCCCCGCCTGCCCCTCGGAGACTCTGCCGAGGCCGCCGCTGCACGCCGTGCCCCGCGCATCCTGGCGCTGCCTGCGCCCCGTGTCGGAGGCCGGCTGCGGGTGCCGGCGCTTTCGCGCGCACGAGTGATTGCCGTGGTCCACGGTCTCTTGTGGTGATTGTGAGGCGCCTGGGGGTAAGTGAGGAGAAGGCCCTCTCAAAAGGCGCGGGAGCCCCCCGGCCTTCTGTGAAGACCTCGGAGCCTTCCCCGAAGACGCAGAAAGCTTCTCAGAAGGCGCGAGGGCTTCTGACAAGGACTTCTCCTTCGCACTTCCCACCCCTCGCTCGCCGCCGATGAGAGCGGAGTTCCCGCTTCCCACCACAGCTCCATAGCTCCCCTGACTCTCCCCTAGCGCCTGGTGCACAGGCCTAGCACAATCTGTCACTGCATCCCGCGGCACGGCATGGTCGCTCAGGCTGCCGCGCTCACCGTGCGCGCGGAGGGACACCTGTCCGCTGCGGGTGCAGACGCTTGTGCGCATGAGTGGTTTCTGTAGGCGATACTGCGGACGCTGTGGGAGACACTCGTGCGACCATCTGGAACGAAATGGAGTGGCTTTTCTGGCAACAGCAACAGCTAGCCTCGGCCACGAACATATTCCAGAATCTAGATGTGGGCAACGGTCCGAAAAGGCAGAACCCCCAACGATCACACATTGGTCCTGACTACAGCGAGTTAAACATACTCTGGGCAATGACGCTCAAAAGGTCACTGCTGCTATCTGCCTGGTGTGTGTGTGTGTTGTTGGTCGCCTTGGGCTTGGATAGTATGAGTTGGGATTCCAGGAGGTGTTACTCTTAATGACAGTGCCGTTGTGGAATCCGCTCTTGTGGCTCGATCCTATGTTTGGTAGCCGTGCAGCTGCCAAGGCTGGGGCGTCGTCGCGGCGTCGCTGGGGTAATCCCCCTCCTCGCGGGCTTGGGATATCTTCTGGAACGCCTCTGGCTGTAAGGCGGGAGCCTGGCACGTGTTCGGTGCCGCTGTGCTGGTTGATGGCGTCGCCTTGTCCTCGACTTGCGTACCGAAGTGCTCGCGGTTGCAAACGTGGCCAAGGAGAAATGAGGATGGAGGTGGCATGTGAATCATAGTTAACTTGAGTTAGTTTGACTGCTGGAGTGCAGGTGTGCGGTCTCACTTCGCTTCGGGTTGATGGCGTCGTCGTTGACAATGGCTGCGCGGTTGCAAGCCAATGTCTCTGGAGCACTCATTGGTACTGTCGATGAAGTCGTTCACGAAACGTCAATGGTTGTTGGAGTGGTCGCAGTCCGTCGCGGCAGGCGCGTCCCACCTGTTTAGTCGCCAGTGGACTGTTGCGGGCGATTTGACAAGCATGTGTCATGGCAGCGCCTCCAAGCCTTTTCATATTGATGGTGTATCCCGCCAAGTGTATACACCTATAGAACTGGCGCATCGGAACGTTCTATGTAGGATGGGCCCGAGAGCGCCCGATGACTGGATCTCGCTGGTATATCGTTCCTGGTTTCCTTGGCCCTCTTAACATATCCATGGGCCGCGGCTGATTTACTCCGTGGGTCTTTCCGGTAATGCTGCGTCCTATCGACGTAGATCAGAATGTAAGCCGCCGCGTGCCGCACCTTGGTGGTGCCACGTGCTGTGCCGATGCTGCGCTGGCTCTTGAACGGAACGCTGCGCTCGAGGCGTCGTGGCGATGCTTGGTCGGTGCGGCTGTGAGCAGCGGGTGCCTCTGCGGTCCGATCGGCCGATCGATCGTGAAACTGTGGTTTGCGGTGGCCACCGCAAGGGCCCTGCGTGGGCGTTGCGGCACCAGTTTTTCCAGACTGGTCATTCAAAACAAAACGGGCGGCTTCAGTCCAGGCTTGACCGTGGAGGCGTACTCTAGCAATGCAAGGGGGCTAACACACGGGAGACGACGAAAAATCCGGGCCAACCGCAATGAAGACCCTACAATACTCGACGTTTCTGCCCTCGCCTCCGACGTCGTCACCGCCGCCGCAGTCTCCGCCGTCGTCTATACCGACGACGTCGTCGTCAACGTCGTACTACTACCCATACTGCTACTACGACTACGACGTCTACCACGACTACTGCGACTACTACTACTTCTACTTCTACTACTTCTACTACTACTACTACTACTACTACTACTACTGTTACTTCTATGACTACTACTGCTACTCCTACGACTAATCTTACTGCTGCTCGTACTCCGACGGCAACGAATACGGCGACGACGACGGCGACTACGACTAAGACTACTACTACTGCTACTACTACTACTACTACTACTACTACTCTACTACTACTACTACGACTACTACTACTACTACTACTACTACTACTACTACTACTACTACTACTACTACTACTACTACTACTACTACTATGTATTGCTACTGCGCCTACGACTACAAATAATACGACCACCACAACTACGTTTGCTACTGCTACTCATACTCCGGCTACGACTACGACTACGACTACTACGACTGCTGCCACTACGACTGTCACCCCTACAACTACGATGACTGTACCGAAACAAAAGACTCAACTACTAGCAGCTACTACTACGAATGGGACAACTACGACTACGACTACTCCTACTACTCCTCCCCCTACTACTACTACTACTACTACTACGACTACTACTACTAGTACTACTAGCACTACTACTACTACTACTACTACCACTACTACTACTACTACTACTACTGCTACTACTACGTCTTCTTCGGCGACAACGACTACCACTCGTGCTACTGCAACTGCTAGGACTACTAGAAATACGACTGCTACGACTACAACTACAACTACTACCACTACTACTACTACCGCTACTACTACTCGTCCTTCTGTTTAATACAACCCCTTGAATTACTACTACTACTACTACTACTACTACTACTGCGACTGTTACTACTACTTCTACTGGTACTACTACTAGTACTACAAACGCTGCAACTACCACTATGACTACGACCACCACGGGTACGACTACTACTACTACTACTACTACTACTACAACTACTATTACTACTACTGCTACTACTACTACTACTACTACTACTACTACTACTACTACTACTACTACTACTACTACTACGACTACTACTGCTACCACTACGACTGCAAACAACTACCACACCAGCTACCACTACGACTTGTACTACTACTACTACTTCTACTACTACTACTACTACTACTACTACTACTACTACTCCCACGACTACGACTACTACCACTACAAGTGCGGTGTCTCCTACAACATGCACGGCGACGGCTACGAAGACTACAGCAGCTACTACCGCTACTACTACTACTACTACTACTACTACTACTACTACTACTACTACTACTACTACTACTACTACTACTACTACTACTACTACTACTACTACTACTACTACTACTACTACTACTACTACTACTACTACTACTACTACTACTACTACTACTACTACTACTACTACTACTACTACTACTACTACTACTACTACTACTACTACTACTACTACTACTACTACTAATATTATAGCGATTCGCAATGCGACTGCTACAGCTACTACTAACACTACTACTAGAACTACGACGACTACTAATACGAAAACTGCAGCCACTAATGCAAACAGTCATTGCGACTACAACTATCACTCCTACAACATCTTCTACATCTACTACTTCTACTACAACTACTACGACTACTACTACTACTACTATTACTACTACTATTATAGCGATTCGCAATGCGACTGCTACAGCTACTAATAACACTATTACTAGAACTACGACGACTACTAACACGAAAACTGCAGCCACTAATGCAAACAGTCATTGCGACTACAACTATCACTCCTACAACATCTTCTACATCTACTACTTCTACTACAACTACTACGACTACTACTACTACTACTACTGCTACTACTACTACTACTACTACTACTACTGTTGCTGCTGCTACTACTACTAATACTGCTACTACTACTACTACTACTACTGCTACTACTACTACTACTACTACTACTACTACTGTACCACTACCGCTACTACCACTACCACTACCACTACCACTACCACTACCACTACTACTACTACTACTACTACTACTACTACTACTACTACTACTACTACTACTACTACTTCTACTACTACTACTACTACTACTACTACTACTACTACTACTACTACTACTACTACTACTACTACTACGACTACTTCTACTACTTCTACTACTGCGACTGCTACTACCCCTTGTACCACAACAACAACAACAACTACTACTACTACTACTTCTGCTACTATTACGGCTACTACTACAACTACCACTCCTGCGTCTACTTCTACCACTACTACTGCTAGAACAACGTCGGACGCCATTTCTACCACAACTGCAACTACTGCTACAACGCGCCCCTTATACTCCTACGAAGCCTGGTACCACAACCAATAGTACTTCGATCAGTAATGCGATCTTTACTTCTACTACGATGTCTTCTGCCATTGCGACCGACCACGATTGCTACTACTACTACAACTACACGTCCTACAACTACAACTGCATCGCGTGCTATGACGGCTACTAGTGCTACCACTATTACCACAGCGCCTGCTATTGTTACGGTTCCTGCGACCACGTCTACTACGACAACTAGAGCTACTACTGCTTCTACAACTGACATTGCGACCACCATGCTACTACTACTGCTACTACGACCACTACTACTACTACTGCTACTACTACTACTACTACTACTACAACTACTACTACTACTACTACTACTACTACTACTACTACTACTACTACTACTACTACTACTACTACTACTACTACTACTACTACTACTACTACTACTACTACTACTACTACTACTACTACTACTACTACTACTACTACTACTACTACTACTACTACTACTACGACTACTACTACTACTACTACTACGACTACGACCACTACTACTACTACTACTACTACAACTACAACTACTACTACGACGACTACTACTACTGCGACTACTGCTGTAACGACCACGAAAACTACTTCCACTGCTAGGCCTGCTACTACTACTACTACTACTACTACTACTGCTACTACTACTACTACTACTACTACTACTACTACTGCTACTACTACTACAACTACTACTACGGCTACCAATACTACGACTACGGCGGCCACTACTGGGCCTAGATACTGGCTCACTGAGGGATTACTACCGCGGGAGGAACGACGACAAACAACAACAACAGCAACAGCAGCAACAACAACACCGACAGCACCAACACCAACAACAACAACAACCACACCAACTATCACAACCACAGCCACCACAACAACACCAACAACAACAACACCAACAAAAACACCAACAACAACACCAACATCAACAACATCACCCACACCAACAGCAATAACAACACTAGCAGCAACGCCGACACTCATTTTAAGACTGGTCGCTCCTATCTGCTCACGTGCCAATCAATACGTATATCCCAAAAACTCGGTACATGCCCTCGTCGTTTTCGATCGTACCCCCTTGGGGGTACATCTTTCTAACCTGCAACGAGCATGTAGTGCAGCCCTAGAACACGGGAAGAGAGGACGGGTGGAAGGGATGGAGCACAAGAGAAATTAGCAGGACGGGGGCAAGGAACACAAAACAAGTGGTAGAACCACACGGGCAGATCGGGTAGGCAGACCCATAGCGGGCAGGTCGGGCAGGCGGGCCCAGGCGACGAGGTCGAGCATGCGGGTTGCTGAAGCGTGGGTCCTGCATGAATCGCGAGGAAATCTCGAGCGATAGCGCGATTCCCAAGTACATCGTGAGAAAGGCGAAAGCGAGAGCGTGATTCCTGAGCGCCGAGGGCGCAGCGCCTGAATAAATTGTAAGGAAGTCCCATGCGAGAGCGCGATGCGTACATGACTTGTGATGATGTCCCGCTCGAGAGCCCAATTCGGAAATAACGTGTGAAGAAGTATCAGGCGGGAGCCGTTGTTGTTGTAAACCGGGGGCCAGGGGTCCAGCTTGAGCCTCGTGACTTTCCCTGGTAAGAAACAGGGTGCGAGCCCCGGAGGAACCACTTCAATTGAAAAAACACACTCGTTACCGTGGGTGGGGGGCCAACACTATTTATTCTGTAGTGAGGAATCAACAATCCGCTTTGCAAAACCTCACTTCAGCCACGAGCACAAGGACAATGAATAACCGCTCGGCCCCCTCACACTGACAATCGAAACTCCTCCTCACCCGCATGCGCCCACCCGTGTCCGTCTTCCTCATCCTCCTACCATCCCCTCGCCGTCCCCGCCGTCGCCGTCATCGTCGCCGATATCGTCGTCGTCGCCCGCCTCACCCTCATCCCCCTCACGGGATGGAGGGGGAACGATACACCCTACGAAATGCTTTAGAAATCATGGGTTAAGAAATTCATAGTCTCAGAATTTGAATAAAAAGCCCAAAATGTCTATTCAAATCTTAGGATCTACATTGAAACATTAAGAATGATCGAGGCTCTGGCCGAAAACCATGGTTTTCTTAAGCATCGCCTAGAGTGTAGCGGGGACTGGCTCAGGGGGGGAACATCGCCCTGGAGCTGGCCTTCGGATCCCGTGGCGAAACCGGACGCTGCCAAGAGAGGGTGAGCTCTCGGGCCGGCAACGGCGAAGAAGGGGGCGCAGGAGGGTCGGCGCAGCCCCCGGGTCGGTGTCTCCGAGGTGGTCTTCGGCTCAGGAGTCGGGCCTCCGTATACGCAGAAGGCATCTATACACCACGACCGTGCCAGGCCAGGGCCCTCCTGGCCCTGGCGTGGTGTATACGCCATCCTGGCCGAGGCCAGGAGGGTCTATACACCATCCTGGGGCTCAGGATGGCCCTGGCCTGTCACGGTGGTGGTGTATAGATGCCTTCGTCGGATCCGACGATCTGGGCACTCCCAGGACACTCTGAAGTGAGGCGCGGCCGCCCCATTCCACGAGCTGGAGCTGCCGTCACCCGAAGAAGCGCTGGCTAGCTACGGCAGACTTTCCCTATTTTCCCATACTTTCCGGGGATCGACGATCCGATGTGCCTGTGTGTTGTTTCCCCTCCTGACAATCACTGACCGGCTCTCCTTACCTGGGACCCTGGCTATATCCGGCCTCCTCCCCACCGCGCGGGCCACTCAGACCGCAGGCCCCCGCTCCTGACGATCAATGGGCGATGGGGAACCTCCTCCTCCTCCTCCTGCTCCTCCTCCTCCTCCTTCCTGGCTTTCGTGCGATGACTCGGCTCTCTGGCGGCCACTCGGGACGATCCGGTCACGCCACACGAATGCTCTCGACGAGGCGCAGCCGCTGAATGCATCTGGGGGCTGGATAGCCGCCGAAAACCGACGAGCACGAAGCCCCTGAGCCTTCCTCCCTCCCCCGCGCGGGCTACGGTTGGACCTAGGGCAGGAGACACTCATGTTTAAGGACATGAGACCCTCCACTGGCCAAACAACTCGAGGCGACCCTCCCCCAGGATGCACAATAAGCAACCAGCAAGCACGAAGAACATTAGGGCCCTCCCCCAGAACCAACATCGAACTTAGATCTCGGTCCGACCGCACTCAGACCGCGGGCGCCCCCGCTCCTGCTGATCGCGTCGTGCCACCGGCGCACCGCCGCCTCGCGCTCGGCGGCGGCGGTCACGGGCTCATAGAGGCCGCGTGTTTCAACGCTCGCACGGGAGCGCTCCCCCTCGGAGGCGCGGGGTGGGTGGCTCCCACCGTATGCCCAACCCGGGGGGCAGGGGAAGAAGGAGGCGAAGGAGGAGGAGGAGGAGGGAGAGGAGGAGGGGGAGGACGCGGAGGGGCGAAATTCAGAATGGGAGGAGAAGGATGACCAGGAGGAGTAGGAGGAGGAATAGGAGGGGCAGGAAGAGGACGAGGATGAGGGCGGAGATCCGTAATGGGTTGCAGGGACAAGCGACACCACCTTCACCAGGGACCACCAGCGGAAGAAACCTAAGGCGGGGCCCCCCTGGTGGTGTGGTCCCCCCTCTCGCTCGAGACAGCCCCTATCCCCAGCTCGGGGAGGCATCGTGGACCTCCTCGCTGGAGGTTGACCCTCTGGTGGGCCGCTTCTCCACCCCCCGACATCATCCCCGCCCTCGCAGTCTTCGGCGGGGCGCCCAAGGGGGCCTCTCAGAGAAGCCGTCCGTGAGAAGCCCTTATCGGCGAAGAATGGGCGATTGGGGGTCGCTGCGTCCCCACCTGAGCCTATCCCCCCCATGGTTTCCGGACGACGAATCGAGACTCGGGCGACCATGCGGGACGATCTGGCTATCCCTGGAACGGGCGCTGGAACGCCTCCAGAGACTGGAAAATCGCCGGGAGCCGCCGAAAACGTCCCATGCCCCAGCAAAGGGGAGGAGAGAGACAGAGCAAGAGCTATCCAAGAGGGGGAGACGAGAAAAAACCGTAAATAACACGTTGAAAGACCGCAGCCCGTCATCGAACGACTCGGGATGAAAAGCTGGCACCCAGAAAGGAGTCCAGGCCGGTGCGGCAGTGCCTTCCACGGTACCGCGCGGGGAGCCGCCACCGCCGACTGCCCGACACCAGAGCCCCAGGTGCTTCCAGCATGGGGGGGGGGCCCTAGAGGAGATATTATTTCCCCCACAAGAATGCCAGGTTGAAGAAGCACGCCCTGCCCTCTTACATGGCGTTTTGCAGGAACAATCGCATGGAATAGAAAGCTTCGCACGAGCTCCACACCGGCTTGGGGGAGGGGGGTTTGCCCCCCCCCGCTCCACTCCCCGCTGCTGCTGTCGTGTCCCGCCGTCGTCCTCGTCCCGCCTCCTCCTCCCTCCTCTCCTCCCTCCTCCCGGCCGCCTGCGTAGAGAGAGCGTTGAAGGCGCGATGAGCGTTTGATGCTGCATTCATTGGGTGGCGTGGTCACCTTATTCTAACTTACTCAAGGTAATCCCCAAAACAAAACTATATAGATAATAAAAGACAAAAATTCATTAAACTCATCGCTCCTTCCCCACCATTCGCACCGTCCCCCACCTCACCGCCCCCCCCCACACTACAACCACAACACACACCGCTCCCCAACCCCCCCCCACACCCCCCCACCCCACCCCCCCCCCCCACACCCCCAACACACCCACACACCCCCACCCCATCCACCACATTCCCACCTCCTCCCCTCCCCCCCCTCGCCCTCCACGCCCCCTCCCCCCCACACCCCGCCCCCCCCCCCCCCACCCCCCTCCCCCACCCCCCCCTACCCCCTCCCCCCCCTCCCGGCCCCCCCCCGCCCCCACCCTCCCCACCCCCTTCCCCTCCTCTTCCCCCCCCCACCCCCCCCCCCCCCCCCCCCCCAACCCTCGTCCCCCCCCTTCCCCTTCCCCTCCGTCCTCCCCCCCCTTCAGCCCTCCCCCCCTCCCCCCCCCTTCCCCTCTCGTCCTCCCCCCCCCCTTCGCTCGCCCCCCCCCTTCCCCTCCTCGTCCTCCCCCCCCCTTCGCCATGCTGGGGACGGGGCATCGAGGGGAGGTAGACCAGGCAGCTGCCGAACTCGGCCAAGCCAGCTGCCGAACTCCTGTCCCGCCTTCCTGAAGGGGCACATGACACACACACACACACACACACACAACACACACACACACACCACACACACACACACCACACACACACACACACACACACACACACACACACACACACACACACACACACACACAACACACACCACACAACACGCACACACGCACACACGACACACACACCAAAAAACACACAAAACAAACAAACAAACAACAAACAAACAAACAAACAAACAAACAAACAAACAAACAAAAAAAATACACACAAAAATAGCAGCATTCCCCCCACATGTTCCCATAGTTTCAGGGTTTTTGTCGTCCCCCCCCCCCACTTCCATGGTTTACCATAGGTTCCAGGGTATTGACGATGAATTGTGTCTGTGTGTTTTGTTCCCCCTCCTGACTTTCCCCTCCTCGCGAACCCTTGCCCATCCTTGCCCTCACCTCCGCTGCCCTGCCCCCCCTCCCATCCTCCCTCCTCTACTCCAACTCCTCCTTTTATCCATCGACTGTTGACAGGCACGACTCTCTCTCTCTCTCTCTCTCTGTATCCCTTTTTCACACTCTAGTCTGATCAGGCCTAGGTTTCCTCGGCCACTTCCGCGCACGGCTGTTGGCTCACCTGGGGCGTTTGTGTCGTCTGATTTGCATCTGGTCGTTCTGTATGGCTTTCTCGCCTCGGCCTCACTGACAGAGCTCCTCGACACAGACAACAGTGGGAAGCGCTGTACATTCAGTGTGTGAACATGTCCTCAAGAGAATGGGATGGAGGCGCGTCCCTGAGACCGAGCCAGAAATGGCGTCCTTGAACTGGGTGTAGCCGCCGTGCCACTTTAGGATCTCGTGGATCTCCTGGGTCGAGGGAAGCCACTGGACATGTAAAACGAGTTGCGGAGGGACATGAGCAGGAGGCATGACCATCCTCCTCCTCCTCGTTCCCTTCCCTCTCCACCTCCTCCCCCTATTCTGCCCCATCTTCCACCCCTCATCATCCTTTGAGTCCTGCATCCCTCCCTCCATCTGGGGACTGCCTACTGATGCAAACTGGGGGCATCGGCGATGCCTCGCGTTGAAATCACGGGTCAGCTGCCCGTCCACGCTGCGTACCTGTTCCATGCACCTGCCCCGCGAGGCGAAGGCACAACACATGAGCGGCGATAAAAAAACAAACTCATGCGAGATGGCGCAGATACCTTACGCGGCAGCTAAGGCGGGCCGCCACCGCAACACCCCAGCCCGTGGGGACGGAGTCCCGGCGTCGGAAGAGTGCTTCTTCAACGGCGGCTGCGGGCTGAAGGGCGTGCAGGGGGGGGCGTCCAAAAGGCAGCGTCAATGATACGCCGCCGTGGGGAACCCACCCGCGCGGACGGCCTTCGGACAGCGACGAAGGAGTCCAGCGGCGGCGGCGTGTGCTTGATGCATCCCTCTCTTCCCCCCCCCCCCCCCCGAACCATGGCTCCCCCCCCAAAAACCCCCTCCCCTGTTGGGAAGGACCCAGGGGTAGGATAGCCTAGGGCAGCGTTTCCTGGCGCTGGAAGGCGCCGATGTTGTATCGAGGAGTGGACGCGGCGGCGGGGCGGAAAGCAGCTGCATGTAGCAGATGTCCCACCCCCCCCTTTCCCTGTCGTACCCCTTCGTCCGGCCCGAATCTCGCCAACGCGACGCTCATTGGCGTCATCGCCGGGCTCGGCCGCGACCAAAGGGCTCCCCATCGGGCGTCGAAGGCGCGGAGAACAGAGAGGTGAGCAGGAGCGCTCCCCGCCGGGCACCCGCGGGGTAGGAGTCCTCCAGAGGGGCTCCCTCCAGATCCCTGGGAGGGCTGCCCATACAGCTGCCAGCTCACGGTGTGGCGTTGGCTCGTCCGTCAAGCTTCGGATGCGTGTGTGTGTGTGTGTGTGTGTGTTTGTATGTTTGCGCATGTGTAGTGAATTGGGTTGCCCGGGTGGTTAGGTGCGTTCGATCCAAAGTGGTCCCGCATCTGGGCGCCTGGCCAGGTGCGCTCGATCGCCTCCGACTGCTCGACCTGCTTCGCCTCGTCGCTGCGCGCGAGGCCGCGACCGTCAAAAGTAAGTGTGTGTGTGTGTGTTTGTGTGTGTGTGTTGTGCGTGCATGTATGTTGGGCCTGCCGCGTCTCTGGACAGACATGCTACTGAACGCGTTTGCATGGAGTGCGGCCTTGTGGCGGGCTCCCTGGCGCCGGGTACGCCTATTTCACGGGATTCGCTTAGTTCTTGTCGTTCACCTAGTCAGGTCAAAGCCGCACCATGGCGGCACATCGACAGCAGTGAGCAATCAGAGTAGAACAGCACACTGTCGAACAGCGGCTTTCCACGAGTTGAAGCAGCCGCTGTCTCTGCCTAGAGCGGTGGACAGACGACGACCTTCGTCTCCCACGGCCCTGAGCAACAGTACCCTGGGTCTTTTCATAATCGCCCCCCCTTGGAATGCCAGAGGGGGGGTGGCCGTGGCATGTCCGTGGAGGTGGCGGGGGGGGTTGTAGCTGTTCGCTTGCGTGCTGGGGGGGGGTTGGCCGCGGCGCGTCCGCGGGCGCCGCTGGGGGTGTGTGGGACTTGCGCCCTTCCTTGCGGGAGTGCCCGGAGGGGTGGTCCGCCCGCCTGCAAGGTGCGCCGCGCACTCCAGTGGGAACTGCCTCGCGCACTTCAGTAATATTGTTCACCTGTCCATTGGAATGTTGGAACTGCCCCCCATGTCACGCAACGGCTTTAAAGCCATCTGTCTCTTCTCCTGCCTGCTCGTCTTCGCCGCGAGGCTCAAGAAGCCTTGAGTGACGTGTGTCCCAGATGGGGTCTTTGGCCGTTGATGTCAAATCTCAAACCCTCATCTCCCTTCCCCTCCCTGTCCTTCACCCGCTCCCACTCCTGCACTCTGCTTGTCCTCACCCTCCTCCTACTCATCCTCTCCGTCCATCCTCCTGCTCCTCCTTCTCTACTTGCTCCTCCTGCCCCGAATGCTTATTCCTCCCCCTCCTACTCCTTCCCCTGCTTCTCCTCCGGTCCTTCAATCCGACGGCGACGACGGCGGCTGCAGCGACGACGGCGTCTGCGCAGAAGCATCGTCGGATCGCCTCCGCGCCGCTGTAGAAGCCCACATGCAGCCCGGCGGCAAAAGCTGCCCCCAACGCCGTGGCCTGCGCCGCGGGCACAACAGCTGGCCCAGTCTCTGGGGGTCCAGTCCCTCTCTCTCTCCCTCTCTCTCTCTCTCTTTCCATCCCTCTTACTTCCACGTGAACAACATGCGCTGGGAATCATGTGCGGTCCGAGAAACGCACCACGCTATTAGATCAAACAACGGCCGCTACTCGGGTCGGGTAAGGAAGGTGCCTTCCCCGCACGTGCGTGGCAACGAAGTGCACACTGGTGCCCCCGTTGCACAAAACCAAAAAAACTAGGGTCCACCCCGTCGTCGTCATCACTCCGACTGCTACTACCTTCCTCCTCTTCCTCCTCGGACCTCACACATCATACACCTCCTCCTCGATAAATAGACTGCTCTGCATCATTCAATCACTACGTACTCCTACTCCACCGCCTCTCTCCTCATCCTCCCTCCCTCTCTCCTATCCTCCTCCCCTCCTCCCCCTCCCCCTCCCCCTCCCCACCCTGCCACCCTCCTCACTCCTTCTCCTCCCTCCTACGCACTCCTTCCGCCTCCCTCCTCCTCCCTCCTCCTCCTCCTCTCCTCTCCTCCCCCTCTCCTCCTCCTCTCCTCCTCCTCTCCTCCTCCTCCCTCCCCCTGCCTCTTCGTCCATGCTCGATCCTGTTCATCCCTTTCTTCTCCACGCTCGGTCAAACACTCCTGCTCCATCTCCCTCGCCCTCCCTCATCCAACCCTCCTCCTCTTTCCTCCGCCCCCACCTTTTCTCCCCTAATCCCTCCTCCTCCTCCTCCTCCTCGTCGTCCTCGTCCTCGTCCTCCGCCACCTCCCCTCCTGATCCTGATGCTGATACTGATCATATTCCTCCTCCAAGGCCTCCTCCTCCTCCTCCTCTTCCAACTCCTCCGCCTCCTCCTCCTCCTCCCTCCTCTCCTCCTCATACTCTCCTCCGCCTCCTCCTCCTCCTCTTATCCCCCCTCCAGCCTACTAGACGTCGCTCGCATCACTCTCCTCCCACCTCCGTGCCCGTCTACCACGCCTCGCCACAGGCGCGCCTCGCAACGCGACGCCTACTGCCCCTCCATCATCTATACTCCTCCTCAGCATCCTCCTTCACCGCCTCCTCATCCTGGGCCTCCCCCAATTCCAACCTCCTGCTCCTCCTTCTCCCCGCCTCCTACTCTTTCTCCACGTACTCGTGACTATCCTCCTAATCCTGGTTATCCTTTATCACCATAATGCATCCTCCCCTCCTCTTCTCCCCTACCTCCCATCCCCTATTCCCCCCCATCTCCCTCCTTCTCCTGCCCCCTTGTTCCCTACCACTCCCCCCTCCTCCTCCTCCTTACCCAACCCCTCCGTCATCCTAGTCCTCCCCTCATCTTCCTACCAATTCCTCTCCCCAGGTTTCTCCTTACTCCTCCTCTTCCTCATCTTCCTCTCCCTCCTCCCTCCAACTCCCTCCTCCCCCGTCCTCCTCCCTCCTCCCCTCTCCCGCCTAACTTTTCCCTTCTCCCTCCTCGCTCCGAACTCTCACCGCCCCCCCCCGCAACCGCGCGGACACAGCAGACATGGCCTCGGGCATCTTCGCCCGGAGCACCGGGGATCCCATGACGTCGGCTTGGATCTGCATCATCAAATCCTTGGCGCACGAAGATGCGCGGGGAGGAGGGGGAGAAGCCCACCAGCCCAATGTGGTCTGACGAATTCTGTGTTTCCTCTTCCAACCTCTTTGCTTGCTGGAGGTTTACCTCCCACCCCACTCCCTGAAATTGTTTCCAGGTGGGCCGCGAAGCGACGCGTTGGAGCGTCCAAGATGGCCCAAGATGGCTCCAAGAGGGCGCCTCCGATGCTCCAAGATAGGCTCCAAGATGGCTCACGATAGCCGACGATGATTCAAGATGGCATCCGCCATACCTACAACCCAATGAGGGCTACAAGACGGTTGCAAGTGCCCTCGGAACACCCTCAGAACCCCCAACCCCGAAGAGGCCACGGTCCTTCAACAACCGATGGAAACCAACGACTTGTGACTTCTTGCCTTTTCGCTTGCGATGCGCTTGCGAGGCCTCGAGATGGCCCCCAGATGAAACCAGAGAGGCGGACCCAAAACGCGAAGGCGCTAGACACGCATGCTTCTCTGGCGGCTGCAGGGGCCCTCCCTCTTGGCGCCCTCCTGGCAGCCCTCTTGGAGCACTCCTTGGGTTTCCTCGTGGCCTCTTCGGCGGCCCGCGCCGGGCGCGCTCCCGCGCACGCCGGCCCTCGCCGCCCGGGGACCCCCTGCGCTCCCACAGCCCAGGGCCATCCAGAGGCGCGAAGAGCCACACGCGACGGCCTCCCGCGAGCCCTCGAGCGGCCGCCCCCCAGCACGTGGGACGGGCGCGAGGGCCGGGCCTGCCGCAGGCCGCTGGAGAAGGGCCCCTCGATAGTCCCCTCCCCCGGGAGCCCATTGCGACCAGCTTCGAGGGGGTGGGGGATCCCAGGAGGAGCAGAGGGAGGAGGAGGAGGAGGAGGAGGAGGAGGAGGAAGAAGAGGAAGAGGAGGAGGAGAAGGAGGAGGAGGAGAAGGAGGAGGAGGAGGAGGAGGAGGAGCCAGCTAGGCCGACGCTGTCATCTGGCCCTGCAGAGCTCCCTGACGGCCACGAGACGGGCCAACACGGATGCTCCAGGTGGTCTTCGAACTGCCCACGTTTGCTCACAGGTGGCCCTAGAGGGCCTCCCGACAGCCCCAACATGCCACCGAAACGCCCAAAGGGGACTGCAAGAGAACTGCCAAGAGTCCCCAAGAGGCACACATCGCCCTAAGCCGCCAACAACCATACGGCTTGAGTGCCTTCGCTTTTAGGTTCACGCAGCTTGGCCCCAAGACGGACCACAAGGCCCCTAAGATTACCCACCAAATGTCCAAGACGATAACAAGATGCCGAGACACCCCGAAGCCCCAAAGAAGCCCGAATAACCTCCCCAGAAAGCCCACACCAAAAGATGCCTCAAAAGGCTCCCAATCCGTCGCTTGTTGCCGGTCCTGCAGCTTGTCCCCCAAGTCGGCGGTGGGGCGACAGTCGTGAATCTCATATGCTCCCCCATACATCGCCTCCCTCGCCCCTCGCTTAATCCAGGCGCGGAGGGACTCAGAGGAAGAGGAGGCATGAGGACCTCAGACCCCCATCTCACCCTGCCTGTTCTCAAAATTCCATGCCTCTCGCATCCCTGGACCCAGGTTGGCCTCGACAAGAATTACGCTGGCGTGCGACTTGCAGCCTCCTTCGAGAATGCACTGCCAGGCCTGGGCATCCTTCTCCGCCTCACCCTCACAACATCCCCCGCCCATGCTCTCCCATCCCAAACCGTCCTACACTTCCTTGTCGTCCTCCCCCTCGAGCCACTCCCTCGTCCCCTCCCAACGCCTCACTTCGTCCTGCTCCTCCTCTGGGTAAACGAACCTGTGCGCGGATAGTACTCCCCAGACAGTAGCTCTCCCGCGCGGTGCTCTCCGATCGAGATGGCGTACTTCCTCCGCTGATACTCCCCCTGCTCTGGCCCCCCGGGGTGCATTGATAGGGAGCCCGCACAGGACATACGCGCCCAACCACGTGGATGAATACGGCCCCCCAGGCCGCGAGACCAGCCTCGTGAGAAGGACGGTCGCACTACGTACACTTTCGAAACCAACGTGGATTCATGTGCGTGTATGTTTTTCCCCCCAGAAGGCCTGCTGCTCACGGCGCAAGCCTTGGTGCTCTCGCTGGATGGCGCCCTTGTCCTTTTTCGGCCTCCCGGAGGGCATCCCGACACTTTGCCACTAAGCGTGCACGTCCTTCTTTCGATGCCGAATCGATGGGCCAAGAGGCCCGTGCGTGCAAACAGGCGCGGAGGAGGGTGTGGAGGAGCATCCGAATGCTAATTCTTGGGTTTGGCGAGCTCGACGCACCCTTGACAGCGTTGGAAGGGCTGAAGTAGTAGACTTGAGGTAGGAGGAGGACGAGGAGGAGGAGGAGGAGGAGGAGGAGGACGAGGAGGAGGACGAGGAGGGGGAGGAGGAGGAGGAGGGGAAGGAGAAGGAGGAGGAGGAAGAGGAGCACGAGGAGGCCCGCTGATCCCAGCTGCGTTGGCTCACCGGCCCGGGACGGCCGCGACCCGGCACTCAGAGCGGGGCGGCCAGAGCCCCGCGGGCAGCGATTCCTGATGTTGTAGACAGTCAAAGGCAGCAAGAAGGGTTGAGTTTAACTGTGCGAGGCCCTCAGATCGGGGATGGACAGATCTCCCTTTAGTAAAACGTGGTTTAGTGAAAACAACCCGAGGCCCAAACCTGGCGGGCGCAAGCATGGAAAATAACGGCCACGGCGCCCTCTCGAGAACCGAAAACGGACAATTCACTAATCGACGTGTCACTGTTGGGGGTTCTGTCCAACCCCGATCAGAACGGTTAGTAGGCCACATGCGAGGCCTACCCCACCGCCCCACGATTCTCAACGGGGGAGGTGGGTGGGGCTCACTTCGATCGGAGCCTCCCTGGCGAAGTGACCCCCCCTCCCCCCTTAGAAATCGTGGGGTGGTGGGGTAGGGTTCATATGCGGCCACCGAACGGTGCGAGAGCCAAGGATGCGCGCACGCCAGTGCACCCACTGTCGCGCCAGTGTGCCCACTGGACTGGGGAAGACGAAAAAGTGAGAAAGAAGGCCTGAAGACAAGGATGCAAGGTGCTCCTGCGATAAAGGCACGTCAGCGGCGCATCCATAGCGCTGGCTGCGAATGCGGTCCAACTGATAGTCCACGCACGAGATCCAGCGTAGCAAAACAAATACAACGTTGCGAAAAATCACGACCAAAGCCCTAGACCCCACCTTTCTGCGCCAGATTCAAACTGGATTGATCTGGGAGGGTCCAAGGGCCCGAGACTGAGCGAAAACGCAAAAAAAAATGCCACGCCCGGATCTGAGCGCCCCCCCCGCCCTCTGGTGCCGTCTTGGGGAGTTATGGAGGGGCTCTTGGGCCGCCCTGGGACGTTCTTAGCAACCTCTCAGGCCGTCTGGGAACGTTGGAATCCCGAAAGGCGCGAACTCCACAATCCTTCAAGCACTCTTGGGTCGTCTCGGAAGACTCTACGGCCGTCTTGGGGGACTCTGGTGTCCTCCTCCTCCTCCTCCTTTTCCTCCTTCTCCTCTTCTTGCCTCGCCTGCATCTCCAGCTCCTCCATCGCGATCACGATGGGCCGCGCCAGGAGAGGTGGTGCGCGGGGGTACGGCGTCGGGGGGGGGGAGGGGCAGACTGAGGCGCCGTCGCACTGGGTGAGGCCGCCGTCGGTCTTCACGGCCTGGCCGGGGCCGCGCCAAGAGGGGAGGACCATTCCCCCCCAACGACGATTCAACCGTCTCAGAGGGCGCCTCATGTGGGGGAGGACGGGGGGGGGACCATTTCCCTGCCAGCGAGGATTCTACCGACTCAGAGGGCCCCTCGAGTGGGGGAGGACGGGGACCATTCCCCCCCAGCGAGGATTCAACCGTCTCGAAAGGTCCCGCATGGGGGGTCTTGCAAGATTGACCAGGGGCAGACCGTCCCAGCAGTTCTGCAGACCTACCACGGAAGGTTGCGATCACAAGCGAATGAATACAAACGATGTTCTTGGAACGTGAGGCTGTTCGGCTAATACAAAGATGGTTGAGCCAGAACCGTTCTGGTAATCTTTCGCGCAAGCCATGTAAGGTTATCAGCCCATTCGCTGGTGGGCCTGTAAACAAGCCAAGACGACTTTCCAGTGCTTGAAGAATGGCTACCATCTTTGGGTCTTGCAAGAGCAATGGCATGGCGCCCCAAAGCCCCTGCAACCAAGGAAAAAAACAAGCGGAACCCTGACTAACCGCGAAGGTTGGTTTAGTAAAAATGCACATAACTGCGGGCGAATGTGTCTGGATGGGGTTGTATTCATGAATACACACCCGTCACATAATTATGCCGCTACCGCCTCCGCAGTCGTCGCCGCCGCCGGCGCCTGTCTGTTGGCGTTACCGACGTTGCCGTCGTATAGCTACGACGACGACTACTACGACCACCACAACGAAGACACGGTTACTACTACTAGTAATAATAGTGTTGCTACTACTACTAATGCTACTAATGCTGCCGCTTTGACTATCACGACTACACGACTATTACGGCAACTACTCTGACTACTACTACTGCTGCTACTACTACTAGTGCTCGCACAGATACTACTACTACTACTACTACTACTACTACTACTACTACTACTACTACTACTACTACTACTACTACTACTACTTCTACTAATAGTACTAGTAACTACTACTACTACTTAACTACTAATATACTACTACTACTATACTACGAGTACCACTACACACCTACCTACCACTACACTACCACTACCACTTCCACTTCCACTGCTACTACTACTAACTACTACTACATACCTACCACTTACTACTTAACTACTACTACTACTACTTACTTACTACTGCTACTGCTACTACTTACGCCTACTACACTGTCTACTTCTACTAATACTACTACTACTGCTACTATTATACTACTACTACTACTACTTACTAACTACTACTACTATACTACTACTACTACTACTTACTACTACTACTACTACTACTACTGGTGCTACTACTCTACTACTACTAAGTACTACTACTAACTACTTACTACTACACTACTACTACTACTACTACTACTACTACTACTACTACTACTACTACTACTACTACTACTACTACTTACTACTACTACTACTACTACTACTACTACTACTACTACTACTACTACTACTACTACTACTACTACGATTACTACTACTACTACTACTACTACTACTACGACGACTGTAAATACTACTACTACTACTACTACTACTACTACTACTGCCACTACTAGTACTGCTACTGCTACGGCGGCAATGGCTACGACTACGACTACTGCTACCATGCGACTACGACTGGTTTAACTATTGCGAATACTACGAATACTACAACCACTACTGCTACGACGAGGACTACTACCACTACTGCTGCTACCACTGCAGCGGCGACGGGTACTACTACTGCTTACACCGCTACTACTACTGCTGCGGTTACAAGTATTCTCGCTTCGACGAATGCTACTACTACGACGACAAGAGCTACGACTACGGCTGCTACCACTACGACGACTCCTACGACTACGGTGGCTACTACTACATCTACCACGACTACGATGCGTACTCCTACGAACACCACTGCTACTCCGAATATTACGGCTACTACGACGACTACCACTACTACTACTACTACTACTACTACTACTACTACTACTACTACTACTACTACTACTACTACTACTACTACTACTACTACTACTACTACTACTACTACTACTACTACTACTACTACTAATACTACTGCTACTACTACTACTACTACAAATACCACGACTACTGTTAATACGACTACTACTACTACTACTACTACTACTACTACTACTACTACTACTACTGCCACTACTGGTACTACTACTTCTACCGGGACAATTGTTACGACTACGACTATTGCTGCCGTACGTTTACGACTAGTATAGCTATTGCGAGTACTACGATCACTACTACTAAGCTGCTACCGCGACGGCGAAAGTTACTACTACGAAGACTGCTACTACTACTACTACTACTACTACTACTACTACTACTACTACTACTGCTGATACTACTACAGCGGCAACGGGTACTACTACTGCTTACACCACTACTACTACTGCTGCGGTTACAAATATTCTCGCTTCGACGAATGCTACAACTACGACGACAAGAGCTACGACTACGGCTGCTACCGCTACGACTACTCCTACGACTACGGTGGCTACGATTACTACTACTACTACTACTACTACTACTACTACTACGACTACTACTACTACTGATACGACTACTACTACTACTACCACGACTACGGTGCGTACCCCTACGAACACCACTACTACTCCGAATCTTACGTCTACTACGACGACTACATCTAGTACTGCTACGACCACTACTACTACTACGACTACTACTGCGACCACTACAACTACAACTACAACTACAACAACAACAACAACTACTACTACTACTACTACTACTACTACTACGGTTGCTACGGCGACTACACGTGCGACCACGACTGCTACGAATACTAGTACCACGACGACGACGACCACTACTACTATTACTACTACTACTACTACTAAACCTCGACGGCGGCACGACTTCTACAACTATTACTTCCACCATGCTGAACCACACTATTATCATGCCGCTGGCATTACTACTACTACTACCACTGCTGCCACTACTACCGCTAATACTACCACTACTACGATTAAGACTACTACTTATGCGACAACGAATCTACTACTCCCACCATTAGCACGACCACTGCTCCCACAACTACCACTTCTGCAACTACGACTGCGACTACGGCAACTACTACAACAACTAATGATACGACTACTGCTACTACTGGGAGTACTACTACTGCTACTACTACGACAGTTGCTGCGACTACGAGTACAACTAGGAAAACAGCGACGACGACGACGACGACTACTAATTCTACGACTACGACTACTGCGACAAGTACGACTACTACGGCTAATACTACGACTGCTACTAAATACTACTACTGCTACTGCTACTGCTAATACTCCGACTGCGGTTCCGACTACGGCTACAACTACGACTACGACGGCGACTACTACTACTAATCCTACTACTACGACGAGTACTACGACGAGTACTACTACTACTACTACTACTACTACTACTACTACTACTACTACTACTACTTCTACCACTACTACTACTACTACTACTACTACTACTACTACTACTACTACTACTACTAATATTAATAATCGAAGTACACATACAACTCCTACTACTGCCCCATGTTTTGGGGGGGCGAACCTCTACTTTAATCGGGGGCCATGGCTTTGAGCTTCTAGAGCTCCAGAAGACCCTCGTCCGGCCGCCCTCACAACATCGCCGGATGTAAGCTTCAGCCTCTCAGGCTCCCGGAAATCATCGGGTTGTCGCTCCTGTGGCCTTGCTGACCACTCAACAGAGTTAGCGACTCCTCATCATCTCTGCGCCCCTCTGATCACTACCTCAGCCCCTCAACAGCCAGGAAGCGGAGGTGTCGTCCTCGTCCACATCTTCGAGGTCCTCACCGTGATCCTGGAAGGATTTCTGTAGTCCCTCCAGGACCTTCGCAGCGCGATCTGCCGAGTTCGAAACGACCCCCTCGGCCTCAACGAAATGTGCATTCGTGTTGGAGGAGACCGCCTCCAGCTCGAGCTTGACCCCATTGATCTTCAACTCGTCGAGCAAGGGGGTCGAGAAGTTAACGGCGGCCTCCAGGAACGAGTCGGACAGGAGCTCTTCCAGAGCCGCCTTCATCTCATCTGAGTCCCTCTTCAGACCTGCGCTGACAACCCGCTGGTAGGCCAACAGGAAGGTGTCCTCGAACAGCCCCTTCAGGAGGCCGCGCAGGGGGGTGGGGCCGGCCACGAGGCTCATGACGTTGGTCTTCTGCGTGAAGATCTTGCCAAGGAGGACGATGAGCCCATCCTGGTACTCCTTCGTTCTGGACCTCCGCGCTGACTCGGCCCTCGGTGAGCTGAAACCGCGACTCGAAGTCCAGACCTGCCTGAAGAACCGAAATGAGGCTCGACGCAGAACCCGCCGCATCCCCGATGATATCGCCGATGTCCACGGGGTTCTGCCTCGCCTCACCAGCGGCCCCCTTCGTCGCGTCGCTTAAAGGGGACCCCGGGCGGCGCGTGCTTCGCAAGAGCCTTTTCTGGCCTTGGCGATCGACACAAGGGCCTAATAGTTTTTCTTCGATATGAGCTCCTTGAGATCTTTGTCGATCTCATTGCCGAGATGATTCATGGTGTGCTCCCTCTTCGCCACCGCAGCGTAAGGAAACTTCTCAAGGTTCCTCTTCACTCCTTCGCACGTTTCGATGTAGCTGATGCGCGCCTTCTCTCGGGTCATCTCCACCTGCATCCCCGCCATGAATTTCCCCACCAACTGGAGCTCGTTCTCCGTGTCCACCTTCTCCGAACCGAGCTCCTTCAACCTTTTCAGCATTGCCCTTCTGATCCCCCCTCCTCGACAGTTCCCTCATCTGGCTGACGACGCTTGAAATCCGACCCTCGAACTCTGAAGACTCCCCCTTCTTCCCTTCCAAGGTGACAGCCAGAGACTCGACGTCCACAGCCAGCTGCTCCTCGTCTTGAGAGTAGGTGGCTGCCAGGTGTTTCTACCTCCAGGGC